CCCCCTTCTCCCCTGGCTCCCCCGGGTCACCCTAGGCAGGGGGGAAGGGGGAATGGGTCAGGGCAGCGCAGGGGGAGTGCGGGGGCTGCTGGGGGGAGAAGGGGCTCAGCACAGCACCCTCCACTCCCCGGAGCGGCATCACAGTGTGGCTTGCTGGACAGCCCCTCCAGAGCCCAATGGACGGACAGACAGCTGGACAGATGGATGGAGGGGGGATGCCTCCTGCAGTGACATTACCTTTGGGCCACTCCTGCCCGTGAGGCCAACGATACCCTGATTGTTGGAGAGGGAGAGCACATGTCACCAGGGACCAGGGTGGCCCCGTGCTGGGGGAGGGACTGGGGCTGTGAGCCCATGCCAGGGGGGCACCAGGACGGTGAGCCGGTGCCCCAGGGCAGAGCCCAGTGAGCCTCAGCCCCGGGGCACACCCAGACTCACCCGATCACCCTGCTCGCCTTTGGGGCCGGCGGGCCCTGGGATGCTCAGGCCAGGGGCACCCTAGACACAAAGGGATGCAGCTTGGAGCAACGACACAGGCACTATGAGCCCGGGGGGGCTGTGTGATGCCCCCTGTACCCCCTGTCCCCAGGCAGTACTCACACGGGCACCTTTATCTCCTGCTTCACCCTTGGGGCCAGGAGGTCCTTCTGGTCCTGGGAAGCCTCTGTCACCCTGGAGCAGAAAAAATGGCACCAGCAGCTCCCCCAAACCACCCTCCTCCCCGCCACAGCAGCTGGGGACAACCAGGTCTGAGAACCAGCATGGGCATGCCCTCATGTTGGTGCCCAGCTGTGCTGTCCTCCTCCCCAACCCATGGCCGTGCCCCAGGGGGTGCCAGCATGGGGCTTTGGGGGCACAGCTGGGGCAGGGTTACCTTCTCTCCTCCAACACCGGCCACGCTGGGAGCCTGGGGGAGAAGCAGAGGGGACCGTGCTGGGTGCTGCCCATCACCCCGTGTCCCAGGGCTGGGGCAGGCAGAGGTGGACCTGCTGGGCAGCATCACTTACCGGCTTGCCTGGTGGTCCCGGATCACCCTGTGGAGAGACGGGTGTCATTGCCGGCCCCTTCCCCAGCAGCCCACTGCCCCCCCACTGGGACCCCAGTTCGCCTTCCCC